ACTTGATCATAATTAAAATAATATGATTCAGTTAAAATATATAAATATTTTTATATAACCATGATAAGGAAAATATTTAAATAAAGAAGACATCAATTTACAAGTAAAGGAAACATTCATGAATAAATTGCACATAATATAACAAAATAGTAACAGAGCTACTTAAGTACTTAACTACAAAGTTAATAAATTATTTTTTTATTCCTTTTAAGTTAAAAAATATTTTATGCTTAATAAAATTATTTAAAAATTAAAATTGATTAAAAAATAAAAAATATTTTTTAAAAAGTTTCAAGTATTCAAGCCGGCTTGAATAAGCCCAAAGCCCAAAGATGTTAGGGTCGGGCTTGATTATATGGGCTTTTTACAAAAAGTAAAATTCTTTAAACTCGATTCAAATAAGCCCGACCCGCCCGAATTATCGGCTCTAATCCTATCTATCTAAGGATTTTCTTTTCTTTTTTTAATTAATCCTTTCAAGTAGCCTTTTCTTATTGGGAAATGCTATCTGAATTTTTTTAAAAAAAATAACTCTCAAATTTAACCTAAGGTTTAATTAAAAAATTTTTAACAAGTGAATTAATTTGCTTAATTAAAAACAATCAGGTTTGATTTAAAAATAACGATGACCCACAATACACTTGAACGTGATACGGAATCGTTCCATTCCGGTGAGAGAGAGACTTGAAATATAGTTGCTTGCACTTGTTTACTGACGCAAAGTTTCAAATCCAAGCATCGCTACAAGATGCAATCAAATTTGAAGCATTAATTAATTAAAACCTCAGTCAAAGACACATTGGCAACTCAATTCATATTGAAGTTTCCAATCACATGCATATTGATGATTTTATGTAAATAAAGAAATCTGCAATGACCAGTATAATAATCCAAAATTTAAATTAAATAATTTTCCTTTCCTATTTAAAAAGTCCTAAAATGCCCTTTTTTAATAAAAATATTATAATATCAATAACAAAAATCTGATGAGGTATTATTTTGTAATTTTCTCAACTTTTGGTCTTGTTTTGTAATTTTGCCCAATGAACTTGTTATTTCAATACCTCCTTTCCCTTTATGGGTCATTCGCATGGAGCAAGTAGAGTGAGAGAGCTCACGTTCTTCCTCTGTTTTTCTTCCCTTCCTGTCGCACTAGCTTCAATCCTCTCGTGAGTGTGTTCGTTTCTTCTCACCGCCGGAGGCCCGTCCATCTTTGTACAGATAAAAGGTTGAATCTTCTTCCCCGTTTCTGCTCTGTTTTGTGGCTGTCAGAGGTGTGTGTACTCATGTTTGATCTGTCTCTTTTCTTCCTCCGTGGCTGTTGAAGTTCCGTGTCTGTGCGTCTATGGTAGCTTGATTCTTGCATCTGCTAGCTGAAATTTTGGTCCTCTTCTTTTTCGTGCGTACAGCAGATCGGAGCTCTTCTCTTTCCCTTCTTCAGTGTTGGTCACGTGCTGATTTATAGGGGTAGCCAATGCAGTTTTGTTGGAGTTGAGTTGCAGTTCTTTTCTCCTTCCTCTTCAAGTCCCATAACAGCAACGAATCTTCTTCTCCCTTCTCTGGCTGAATTATGAAATCTTTGTTCCTCATTGCTGCTGTCATGAAATTTTAGAATCAATTAGAAATATAGTTTTAGTTAATCTTGAATGTTATTCTATTATGATATTGAACTAAATTTGATTAACGAAAGTATAAGTTTGGAAATTATTGGAATTTTTTGGTTACTCATCTCAAAATTTTGTCAACAATAAATGCATGCCTTTAAAGTATTTGTAAAAATGTGATAGAGAAGAATTTGGTAAATTATGGGTTGTTAAACTTCCATATTATAGCTTGGAGCAGTATATATAATTTTTTATTTAAGTTATTAATTGAAAATTTTAAAATATCAAAGTGAGAGAAACGATTACATAGGATGCTTGTTTTACATTTTTTTTTTTAGTCTAAAGGAAGCTTAAGAGTGATTAATATAGTTTATTATGATTTATGAATGAGCATGGATCATAAAAATGTATGAGGATAAATTGAGAGTTGTTGAATATTTGGCTAACTCAAGTATACTTAGAATAAGAGTTGTCAAATATTTGACTAACTCAAGTATACTTGAAATATAATTGGTTATAATATTTTTATTATTGCTTGGATTGAACATGGATACCATTAAGTGTTTGGAAGATTATTTGATAAATGATTGTAGAATTTTGACTTATTTGTCAGAACATTAAAGGCATCATTAAAATAAAACTAAAAGTTAAGAAAAGCAAGCTTTATAATTCTTAAAAAACTTTCAGGTGTGTGGGTGGCAATTCGAATAAATTTCTAGTGAAGTATTATAAAAAATTTTTATTTAAATTTTATTATTATTGCTTTATAAATTGTATAAATATTGTTGTTAATCTTATTTTCATAATAATTGTCATATTAATGATAATGTCCTAAACATTACTTATGATTTATATTGTTAATAAGAAATGACTGAAACATATATATGATAAATGGTATCATTTCTCATAATTAGTTTAATTATTTAATTTTACATTTATATAAAATTTTTATTACAATAATCTGTGTATGGAGAAAATGATAGGTCAACAATAATTGAAGTGAAAATTTTGAAAATTACCTTTCTTGATCCATACATGCTTGATTTTAATGAGGAGGACTGAATTTAGAATGATAGATGCTAATGGCAGTTTTGCTGGCTCTTGACGCACCATGGTACACCTAGCTAGTAGGGTGTTCATAGAAGATACTAGCCTTATATAAAGGCCAACATACGTGAATCAGAGGGATGGTAATTCATGAGTACTACTCACGCTTGTTTTTGTGAGCCTCATGCCTACACTTGATTTGTGGCTTTAATCGTACTTATTTTGTAGCGTTTAGTTGCACTTAACTGGTTATTTATTCTTGTAGATTGTGTGTCTACGCTTAATTGATTATTTACCCTTATGGACTGTATGTCCATGTTTGTTATTCATTCTGACAAAGCTCTCCAAAATTAAGATTAAAATCTATTATTTCTATATTAATTTTCTATGAGCATTCTACCTAATTGTATTATTACTTGAAATTTTTATATTCTATGAGCATTACAAATTTTGATGATTTGTATTGTTCTATTAGCATTGTTAAATTTCACAATTGATATATTGAGAAAACTTGTTCTTTATTGTTAGTTGAGTATATATTTCATTATTTCATTAAATTGTTTGAACTAAATTTATTAGTTTTATATTTATAAATTTTAAATTATAATTCTAATTAGAACGTTATTCATCAAAAAAAAATTTTAGTTTCAAATATTGTAGCAACCTTGAGCTTCTTTCTTAACATTAAGAGGCCCCATAACTTTTTGGATAGTGAAAGCACCTTTTGATTATCTATTTGATAAAAATTGGTATTGTATTATATGAATTTATCTCAGTGCTCTACGTAAGCCATTGTTAGATTCTAGTTTTATTTTGTCAATATGTAACTTACTATAATGAAGCTAGTCTCCTCCGCTAGGTTGGTTGACAGGTTTTTTTATTGTAGAAATTTCAGGAGGTCTAAATTACAAAAACTTTACTGAAATTTTTACAAAACATTTAAAAATTTGCAAACCTTATTATTATTATTATTATTATTATTATTATTATTATACATATAACTTATATATTAATATTTTAGGTTAAATTTTGGCTAATTAAGGCTTATAAAATATGAGCTTCTTTCATATTTCATGCCGTTCAAACTCTTTATCGGGTGTGACAACTGGGAAATTTAGGAAATTTTTTTAATATACATTAAAAAATTTATTTTAGTATCAAAATAGAATTTGGCCCAAAAAAAAATTAGAAGAAGAAGAAAAAGAAAGAAAGAAAGAAAGAAAAATAATTATAAATTTAAATAAAATAATTATTTGTTCTTATTAATATTTTGATGATAATGTTGTGGAAAAATGTATATCCATGTACGTATGTTGATTCTGAAAATAATTAAATATTGAAATTAATAGGAACATGTTTTGATGAATTTTTTTTTTTAAAAAAATTGGAATAGATGCAATCATAAATTAGTGGTTTAGTGGAACCATGCTTGTTGCCTATCTTCTGGTCCTAAATTCGAATCCTCATTAGGATGATGGAAAATTTTTATTTTATTTTTCTTTAAACACATTGAAATTACTAAAATAACCCTCTTAAAAAATATAACATTATATTTCCACCCCATTTTCTTTTCATTCATTTTTGGGCAGCTGAACACTAAGAGGCAGAGAGCTTCACAACTCTTCTTCTCTTTTGTCACAAATGTGAGTGAGAGATCTTCCATCCATTCCTCGTCGAGGTGTGTGGAAGGGAGATCCATCGCCACTGGAGGTCACCAAAATTTTATCTATTCATGTTGTAGTTGGGGGCCGATGTAGCTGGATTCTTCTCCTCCTTTGTTCATGTCGTCGATTTTCTCCTTACTTCCTTAATTCTTGCAGCGGCGTTCTACAGAGATGTGTATGCGAGAGCTTTGTTATTCCTTCTCCTACGGCACGTTGTTTGGTGTGTGTGGAATGAGAACAGCCATTATGGAGGGCAGAACTGAGCAGAATCGCAACCTCTTTTTATTCCTTCTGCATGTTCATATAGCTAACATTTCCTTCTTCTTCTTGCTTTTGTCGTGACTGATTTGAGGTAGGAACTCTGGATCCTTTTTTCTTCAAGTTGATTATGTATATTTATTGGATTTTGGGTGATTAAAACCTTGATTGTTCTTATCAGTTAGTTGCTATGAGGGACGAAAGGAGGGAGTTTGAGCAAGCTGAAAATTTAAGCTTAAAGAGCATGTTTTTATTGATGTTCTATTAAAATTGTCTTGGTTATTGCTTGATGAAGATTGATTTATATTTGATTTTTCCTTGAGCTTAATTGGTTCGTGTTGAATAAATGATATTTAGAAAGTTTGGTAAAATGAAGTGTTGAATAGTGGGTAAGTGCCTTGACTACTAACATTTTGCTCTCTCTTAGGATGCGTGCTATGTTGGTGTTTTCTATATCATGGATGATCTAGGTCACCGAAAGTTACCCCTAGATAGGTCGTTGGATGAGTCTCCCCCTGATTCAAAGAAGAAAATGATTATTGACAATGCTGAAAATTTGATCACAGATGCCATCACGGATGATAAAATGGCAGGATCTAGTGAAGTGAGTGAGGCATCGCCCTCAGGTGATCAGGAAGATGAAAATAGAGGAAAGTTTAAATGCAAGAAAGAACAGCAACAAGTCTCCTATAAAGGCTCTATTATGGCCTATAATGAAGTGGCTAATGGAGAGGAAATTGTGGAAAACGAAGATTTGCTGCTGGATGATGATGAAATCACATGGACATTACCATAACCTTCTGAAAAGGTTGAACAGTTGAAGCACTTGTATCCTAAAGTTCCTATCTCCCAAGAAGAGTTCAATGAATGGTGCAGGCCTTGGAATAAGGCTCTGATCCTCACTATGCTAGGTAAGAGATTTAGCATGTATGACTTAAAGGATTACTTGGAATTCATATGGGAAATTAGAAGCTTTGAACTAAATGATATGCCTAATAACTACTTGATGGTAAGATTTAAAAATCCAACCCAAGAGTTGGTGCATTACAAAAAAGTTCTCTATAGTGGTTTGTGGGTGATTAAGCAACATTGTGTCCTGATACAGAGGTGAACACCCTACTTTGATCCCTTCCATAACTAACTTGGAAGACTAACTATATAGGTTAGGACACTCAATATCTCAATGTATTGTTACAAGAAGAATTTTATCTCAAGATTGAAAGAAAGGAATAGGAGAGCTCTGAAGGTTAATATCTTACCTTAGCTGACTTTACAGTTAAAGAAGCTCTTGTAGAAAGAGAAGATTTGCACGGCTGTGTGTGAAATTGAATTTATAGAAGAAATTAATTCCAAGAATTATCGCTGCAAATTTTGTATTTAATGTGGTTTAGAAGGGTTGAACGATATTTGTTTTGCTTGTGAGCACTATGGTCATCAGTAATTACTCAAAATCTTTAGTTAAAATTTAAAATTTATGATAAGGTTTTTTAAATATATTTTATTAATTTTGAGAGACACTTAATAAAATGATGTTGGTGGCTTAGTGGAAAGTGTCTTGGTACTTACACTTTGCTTATAGGTTCGAATCTTCAACAACAAAAAAAGGGCTTTGCTTCAGCTTAAGAAAAATTACTAGAAAGCCCTTCAGTAAAATCATCAAATTTTTTTCCTTTCCTTCTCTCTTCTTTTCCCGATCTGATTCTCATTTTTGTCGGTGTCTGTGAGCAAGAGTTCTTTGTCCGGAAGCTTCAACCCCTCCGTTCCGCAACCCTTGTCCACCAATTTCCTTTGTCTATCACCATTACTAGTGATGTTAGGTGCACAGAAGATCCTCGCCTTTGCTCTGTCTTCCACATCTGCTCCTCTGTTCGTTCCTCTATTGTGGGTGTAATCATCAGAGTTCCTTTTTTGTGGGAACCTGCAAACAATTCTGGGCGTTCCTCCTTCGAGTGCAGCAGCGTCATCGAAAAATCTTCTCTCCTCAGCTCTGCCGTCGTCGACTATAGGATGGGTGGAGATCATCTCCTTATCTCTTCCGTGTTTGACTTTCAACTCTTGTTTTTTCATCACTAATTTGGTATGAGGAACTCCTTCTGTCCTTGTTTAAATTATTGGTGGTTAGAAGAAGGGAGGAAGTTAAGGATTTACTTAAGTTATAGAACTAGAGAAGAGTTGTGTTAATTGGTATTTTTTGAAATTGCATTCAGGCATGATTCTGTGAGCATGTGTTTTGGGTAGTTATGGTTGTGAATTATTCTTTCCTTGTTTAACTGCCATTTTCCTTTGTGTAGAGAGAAGATTTGAGTAATCTGAAATTTAAATGTTAATTAATCATTTCCGTTAAGCAAGCGTGGTATGGTTGTTCTGGGTTATGGTTAATGGAGATGAATGTGAATTTGGGGTTTTTCCTTTAAGATTAAAACTGTTTTTTTTTTTTTTGGTTGGAGATTGATTAATTCTAGATATTGCTATTGAGATAAATTTTAGAAAGGAAATTAATAAAGAAGAAGGCTGGTATTTGTTTGAACTCTGATGTAAACAAGATGTTCAATAAAATATTTGAAAGATAAAGTTTTGGTGAATGATAGGAAATAATTGTGATAATTGTATTATTGATTTTTAGAATATCTAGAGAATGTTGTATCAATGTTAGAAGGAAGTTTGTTGGACTTGTAGGGAGTCTGACATTATATATTATAAGGAGATTGAAAGAGGAGCTTAGTATTAAAATTTTAACATTGGTGCCTATAAGATGTTTGATGAAAAAAATATTTTAGGGGAAGTTTTGTTGTTTATGTACTTCCTGAAATTGCGATAACTCTTATAAAGCATATTTGGTAATTATTTGTGAGTTTAATTTGAGTATTATAAGAGATTTGTCGAATATGGAGCTAGTGTGTTATTAGATGAATTCTTGAGAGTTATATGGTCCAGAAAAGTGAGTATGTAAAATATTGAAAGGATTAGAAAAAAAAATTGAGAATTGGTTGATTAAATTATAATGATTTGGAACCCGACTGATTATATTGTTGCCAATATTGGAAGATAGTTTATTTGACTAGAATAAGGGCATTAAATGGTTCTGTATTTTGAGTAGGGTTCTTAGAGGAAGGGAGACTTGAATGAACTTTTAAGAAATGAATTCTAGTACTTGGACACACTAAAGGTAAGTGGATAAGATCCCATCTAATTTATCAATAAAAATTTTTTCCAAGATATTTTTATATAGATCATTTAATAACAATTATATTACATACTTTGTTAATTAAATTATCTTTATCTTGAAAAATTATAAAGAGACTTTGAAGGATATTTGAATTATGACATGTGTATGTGTTTTTCTTTACAAATGATACTTTCAAGATTGATGAAATTATTTTTATTAGCTTCAGTAATTTTGGCTTCTCAATAAATGCAAGCATGAATATTAGTTATGAAATTTTATTTTGACAAGTTTTGATGTATAAAACTATTCATGTGAGTTTGATTTTAAAAATGAAAATTGTATTTCAATAGTAATGACTTTCTCACATGTTTGAAAATAGATTTGGAGGGATTTTATACAGAACACTGGTTGCTAACGGTAGTTTTGTTAGCTCTTGGCGTGCCATAGTCAATGACTAGGAAGTTTAATTTTTGTGAGCTCCGATCTCATATTTGTTATTCATGGGTTTAACACCTGCATTTGTTTCCATGGCTTCAAGGCGCGTTTGGTTAGTATTATCCATGTGGACTGTGTATCCATGTTTATTTCGTAACTCAGGCTATGTTTGGTTACTTACCCTCATGGAATATGTGTCTACATTTATTTTCATAGCATAAGCTGCGTTTGATTATTTACCGTCGTAGACTATGTATCCACATTTGTGAATTGTTCTAATAAATCCTCTAAAAATATATGAATTTTTAATTAATTTGTGATTTTATATGTAATGGATTTTAATTCAGTAAATATTATTATTCTTATTTATTTATTGTTATTCTTATCAAGATTAAATGTCAAAGCTGCTTTATTATTACAGATTTAAATGTTCTTGTCATTAAAGTTATATAGAACTTTTATTTCAAATTTACAAATTTGTTTATATTGAATTGCTTTCTCATTTAATTTATGTAACTATTATATATTATTCTTTTTAATTCTGCAAAATGTTATGGTTGGGATGTTATTTACTAAAAAATATTTTATTTGGTCTCAGATAGTATAGTTAATGTGATACCTCTTGCTAACATTTGACGAGTTCATTGCTAAATTTACTAGAAGATCAATTATGAGAATATATTCCTTTTTATGTAAATTCTAAAATCTATGTAGCATGGTTTGGAAATACAATTTAGAGTGCTTCACATTGATTGTAGTTAGAGTCTTAATTTTCTTTTGTTATGTCATCTATCTATTATTGAGAAGTAGAGCTCTGTATTGTTGGATTTATATTGTAAAATTTTTGTTGTAGGGATTTCAAGGCATATTACTTTTAGGGGAGGTAGTGTCGAAATTTCTACAAATAGTTTGAAAATTAGATTTACATGAAAATTAAAATTAAATACATAAAATTATGCTGACAGAGTGTTAGATGTATTAATTAAAAACTTTCCTTAATTAGGGCTTAAGGGATGTATGTTTGTGCATATATTCCGTGTCATTCACGTCTATATTTTTGGGAGAGAACTACCCTTGGTAGTATAGGGCAAGCGATCAACAAGGATCTCAAGATGTTTATCTATTCTCCAACCCTCAAGAAAATTGTCAGTTAAAGAAATTTCTAGGAACAAAATGTAACATCTTAAATTTTAATCCAGAAAACTAGTTATTAACTAGGGATAATTTATTAATTAGTGGATTGATTATTATTCGGATGTTGGGTTAATATTTTGTGTTGGTTGATTATTATGTTAATAGGATTGAATAGTAGAATGGCAAGTCAGGATGAAACGTGTGAGCACTTATGAAAATAGCCTCACTGTACTATGTGCCACATGCATCACGGCGTATGGCACATAATTTACTTAAAGCTGATATGCATCAACTTGAGAATCAGAAGGAAAAAGAAGAGAAAGCATGAAGGGAAGGTTTCTCTGCTAGGGTAATAGTTTTCAAAAGTTTAGAATTTTACTTCAACTAGTAACTTGTCAGGTAAGTTTCGTACTATCTTCCACTATATTTCTACCCTAATTTTTTTGAGTTTGATCGTTAGAAAAATTGAATTAGGAAGTTATAAGGAATTATAATCTAAGGACAAGGTTTAAAAAGGATTTTTAGGTGCGAAACTAAGGTTTTGTGATTAGTTTAAAGTTTAATGATTGAAATTTGAGGATATAGTCTTAATTGAACTAATTTGTTAGGTTAAAATGGGAAAAAACTGATAAACAGAAGAAATAAGAAGGTGTTTTAGTCATTTGAGTAGCCTAAAGGGCAAATGATTATAGAAAATTGTTGTCTGAGCTTTATAAGTACTAAATAAATTGTTTCATATATTGAGGGATTTGATTTAACCAAATTAGTGCCTGTGCTAAATGTTGAAAATTGATTAAAGAATGTTCCTTGTGTAGATTTAGTCTTTGAGAGTTGCTTGTGGGAATCTACACCCATGGGAGTTAACTGCCTGCATGGTAACCCTTGATAGTGAGGGTAAAAGGTAACTAGAGTAACTCTTTTATTTATTAATTTGTAAAAATTTTTACAAGTATTTTATATATAGTTGAATGCATTGTGTTTCATGAACTGATAGAGTAGCAGTATTGTGAAAAGAATATGCATATGAGTGTATGAGTGATGTTTGAAACGTATGTGAAGTGACATATGCATATGTATTTGCATCCGTTAGTGTACCTTAGACTAAAGTAAGGGGTTACAGCCTTGCTCTGTGCAAGGCTAGGAAGTCCTAAAAATCTTGAGCGTAAAGCTTGCTCCACCAGGAAGGACCTAGGATAATGATCCATAAATGTACCCTAGACTAGAGTAGGGGATCGTGGTCCTACTCTATGTAAGGCTAGAAAGTCTTAAAAGTCTAAGTATTGAGAATGCTTCTTTGGTAGGATGCAGGAAACCACCAATACATATTAATGATTCCTAGATTGAGATAGTGGTTTAGTAGGCTCTGTTTCATATAAGGCTAGAAGTGCTGGTTCAAACATAAAGCTTGCTTCGCTAGGGGGAACTAAGAATATATGAGCATAGCCATGAGTGAATGATATTATGTTCATGTATATCTATACTATTTAATTGAAATAATGCTACTTTATCTCTAATTTATGATTTTACTTATTAACCAGTATTTGGGGTTTATTCAAGTTACTTGGACATATGTTTCACTCTATTACCTTTGTATATAGGTGAAAAGAGGATGAGAAGGCTAGGAAAGGAAATGAGGAAATAGTAACTTATAATGGTAGAGGTATAACCACTTTTGTGGAATGAGTGTATAATTATGTTGTTAAAGATTTGAATTGTCAACTAGGATACATAAGTGTATATAAATGAATATATGTGATTATGCTGTGAGAACTTGCTTGTATCTCTGTATTGCATCTCACTGAGTGTACCACAATGGTGGATACGTGGGTAGGCCAAGATGCTAGTCAAGCAAGTGTATGTTATTATATAACTTGTTCTACTAGTATTGGTTATGAAATTGTTGTGATGAAATGTGCATATATGTGGGACTTGACCAAATGTTAAGGCTTTACCCCATTTGTATGAGTCAAGTGTATTTGTAATTTCCGACTATATAGTAAGGCTTAGTCCCATATGTGAGAGTCAGATGATTAAAAGTGAACAAGTGTATGTACGTATGTGTTTTGTGTCTCATATAAGTCCACAAGTGTGTAATGTGACATTGAGAGGTAAAGATAAGTATTTATTGTGATATACATGATTTGATATGTTAATCAGGTATATATTGTCATTTTAGACTTAGTTCAAGGACCATAGCGATCTAATAGGATAAGGAATGAGAATTGAGAACCTAGGATGCTAGTTTTAAAAAATGACTTTTTACATTTGAATGTCCAATTGTAGATCGGACCGTTGAATTGTGTCCAAACTTATCTCATTAGATAGAATATGTTGAAACTTTCGTGTGGGCGTTTGAATCACTCCAATCAAACATCGGATGTAGAATCGATGCAAGATGAAAATTTGCTTTTGTGAATTGTCATTTGACAATAAAATTCTATCATGTACACCGTGGCATGACACAAAGAAGGGAGCCTATGACTTTATACTACATGTGGCAGTGTATTGTGGTACAGGTCGTAGCACACGGCCTTGTTTGAGATAAATAATTGTGTATTTTAATTGTTGGTAGGCTATAAGTTATGCTTTTGTTAGCCCTATTATTTGAACTTATTTTTTTAAAAATTCGAGATCTCCCATTTTAAAAATAAATTAAGGGCTATAAGTCTTATACTTGTGTTGTAATGTGTGTATGGATTAGTAAAGTCTAGATTATATAAAAGACTTTACAAAAAACACCCTTGTAGGACATGGATGTTGAAAGGTACACCAAGAAATCCTTAGAATGTGAGAAGGTATAGACCATCAGGGAAAAAGTATGAGTAAGGCAGGAGTAGCAGGTTCTACAAGAAAGAGGAAAAGTTAAACTTGTCTTCTCGCTATCAGGCTTTAGATGAGCTAGAAGGTGATGTTGGCATGTCAAAAGAAAATCAAGAAAGTGGAGAAGGGAAGCAGGTAATTTTGGTTGAGAAAGGAGAAGAGTCTACCCTATTTAATGCTAAGGAGGCTAAAAAGACAAAAAGTGTAGGGGGTCAATCCTGAAGCAGTGGGGGAAGAAAGAAAGGACAAGATAAGTCAAAGCAAATATCAAAGACAATAAGGAAAGAAAATTTGAAACCAAGTGGGTCAGGTATAAATGGCCCAAACCAAAAATTGACTAGGCCTATTTTTAATGGTCAGAACCAAAAACTGGTGTGATGAAAAACGACTTGGGTAATAAGCCCAATATCCAACGGATCTAACAAGAAATTGGGCTAGAGAACCCATTCTATTGTAATTGGTCATATTGACCAATTGAAATCCTCACACAATAGCCCATCAATTATTATGCCAAATTATCCCCCTGAGGCTGATATGCTAATAGATGACACATAAGGCTCACCTCTAGGCTCACCTTTAGATATGCAAATAAATGACATATATGGAAACACTAATGGAGAAGAAACCCCTTGACTCGCAAGGTTTGATGACTGCGCACAACTTCTTGGATAATTCTGGGCAAGATTTTTTAGCTATGGTGCGAAGTGTTTCATGCATTTTGAATCAACGAGTTATGCCAAAATACAATGTCTTTGCTGAAGTCTGTTCTAGAGGAGTTTGTTAATGATCCTCTCAACTAATTCGGGTTTATCCCTTTCTTTGTCCTAGTTTTTAATGATTGTTGCTTCTTGGAATTGTCGCGGTGCTAGTAGTAAGGATTTTACAGGCATCATTAAAAACTAGCTCTCTTTTTATAATATTGATGTCTTATGTCTCATTGAGCCTTGGATTAGCAGGGACAAATCTGATAGGGTGATTAAATAGTTTAGTTTCAGTCACTGGCTTTGTGTTGAAGCAATTGGTTTTGCTGGAGGGATTTAGGTTCTTGGGAATGATAGGGATATTAAGGTTGACTATATATGCTCCAATACCCAAGTTTTCCATTGCAAATTATTTGATATTAGGTCAGGTAAGTGTTTAGTTTCTACTTTTGTTTATGGGGAGACTTGTATTTTAAAAAGAAAGTTATTGTGGGACTCCCTAAAAGCCATTGCTGAATTCACGGATGAAGCTTGGTTAGTTATTGGTGATTTTAATACTTTTTTGGATTTCTTGAATAAGAGTGGAGGGTTACTACCTTCTATTCAGGCTATGAATAATTTCTACAACTACATTAATGAAGTTGAACTTATTGAAATTCCAGTTGTGGGAGATAAATTTATTTGGAAAAGAAAAGATCTCAAGGAAAGGTTAGATTGGTCTTTTTGCAATGCTCTTTAGCAAGAAAGTCACCCGCATGCCAAAGTTTTCCATTGCTTGAAATTCAGCTTTGATAATTGCATTTTAGTTGTTGCTAATGAAAATCCTTCTAGGAACAATTGGAGTGTCAACAAGCATTTTTTCTATCAAACAGCTTGAACATTGGAAAATGGTCTTCCCGAACTTGTCCAAGACACTTAGAATAATCGAAGTTGGATTGAGGGTGCACAAAGTTTTAGTAAAGCTACTAAAATTTAGAGTAATAATAATATTGGTAGCATTCCTAAAAAGAGGAGAGAAATTTTTAACAAGCTTAGGAGCACTGATAGGAATAGAAGTGAATTTGATCATGATGGTTTATTTCGATTGGAAAGAAGATTATGGAAAGAATACCAAAAACTTTATGGTCAAGAGGAGATGATTTGGTTTCAAAAATTAAGGTGTAAATGGCTTCAATAGGGGGATAGGAACACAAGGTACTTTCATACTACTACAAGAATAAGAAGAAGGAAAAGCAACATTATTGCCCTTCAAAATAATATAGGTGAATGGATCATGATATTCCTACGCTAAAAAGCATGGCTTGTGACTATTTCAAGAATCTCTATTATAATAATTCTAATATTCTGAGCTTCACTGATTGGCCTCAAGATTTCCCTGTTCTTCATTCTTATTAGTTGAATCATATCTGTGAACATTGTATTTTATCCGGGTATTCTTTTTAAATTTAATAATAAATAATCAAAAAATATAAAAAAATATAAAAATGAAATTTAATCCTTTTTTAGGATTATATTTTCAAAAAAAATCTTGCTTAAATTTTTTAAAAATCTCTCTCAAATTATTTCAACCATTCAAAAAATATTGAGTGTCAACTTTTGAGAGTTAACTTTTTCTCTCCTTAAATCTTGTTTTTCATTAAAATTAAAAAAATATATCTTTAATTTAATTTCAAAAATAGACATTAATTAAAAAAAATGATAAAAGGCTGTGGTTAAACGCACAGCATTTCACCACAGCTAAGAGCAGACCTTTTCGGCGCTGATCAGGGAGGAAAGAAAACAGAAACACGAGCAGAGAACGCCAGAAGCACACACAATCATGAAATGGAGAAAGGAAAAAGCAAAGAGCAAAGAGCAATGCCAGATGAAAACACAGACTACAGAAAAGCTTCATAGAGAGAACATGTGAACATGCAACAAAATAAGAGAGAGATGCAGAGCAAGCAACCATAGCCCTAAAACTTTGGCCATGCAGTAAAAAAAGAGAGCAGAGAGAAGGCAAAAGAAAAGACTAGACATGCACACAGACTGCAAGCGAAACACAGACAGAAAGAGAGCAATAGATGATAACAGAAGACCAGGCGTACACGTTGAAGCAAGCACACACATGCACGGAAAACACGCTAGAAAAACAGAGCACGGATGAAATGCAGAAAAAGGGAACGAGAGCACAAATGAAAGATAGAAGAGAGAGACCGAGAGTGAGGAAGGATGGGAGACAAGAATAAAAACTGGAAGAGAAGAAAAAAAGGGAGAGAGTAGTGACCGAACGTAGGAAAGGGGAGAAGCTTGAATAGAGGTGAAGAAGAAAAGAGAGTGAGGATGAGAAACTGGAAGGAAAACAAAGACAGGATGATGAGAAACTGGAAGCAAAATAGAGACAGAGAGAGGGATCAAAAGAAGCAAAAACACGATGACAGGGAAGAGAGGACTGAAGAATGCAAAATAGAGGATGTCATGGCTAAAGAAAAGGAGAGTGACAGGGAAGAGCGGACTGAAGGTAGAAAACAGAGACAAGAGAGGAGGTGACGGAGTAGCTTTTTTCTAGAAAAGCTGGGAAGGAGAAGAGAGAGACCGAAGGAGTTAAAAAAAATAGAGGTTGAGAGAGGAAGAAACAGAGACGAAGAGAGGAGAAACGGACTTAGCCGAGAAACCAGCACCGGAGAGTTTTTTGAAAAGAAAAAAAGAAGAAAAAACTGAAAAAGGAAGAGAAAAAAATCGAGAACAGAACACAAAGGAAACGCAGAAGGAAGAGCGAGAAAGGACTGTGGGAGAAGAAAAAACTGGAGCACAAGAAATAAAGCATCGAGAAGAGGAGGAAAGAAAGAACACGAGGAGAGAGAGGAAGCAACACAGAAAAAGAGAGGGGACCGGGAGAAGAGAAGAGAGAAAACCAGACGGAGAAATAATGGAAACTGGACAGCACCTACTGATCATTTTTTTACATGCTCTCACTTCTAGCTTCCGAGTTCCAACTGAGTTGATGACTCATTCTCATGCAAAATTTGGTCATCACAGTGCTATTCTGCTCTTCTTTCTCTTCAAAATCTGCAAATGGAAGTTCATCACAGATCACTTCTTTCAGTTGAAGAGGAGGAATGGAACTTTGCTTTGTGGCTTTCTTACATTCTCACTGGTGTTGGATCAAACTTTATTTCGTGATTTCATGAGGTTAGAGAAAGATTCTTGAAATGCTTACATTGGGGTAGTTCGTGATAGAGAAGGTTATGGAAGCGGCTCAAGCTTCAATTGCATTATCAGGTACCTTCCGTGGAGGCTACTTAATGCAATGTCAGGTATAATTTTGTTCCATTCTTCATAAGTCATCTTTTACATGCATAATTAGGTCATAACTTTGATTTAGCTCTTTCTTGTTTAAAATTTTGTAGTTCTTTCAAAAATTTCATATGCTTGCTTTATTCATTCAAATGATCATATTATTTTGAAAAAATTAAGAGTATGCATATGTATAATATGTGACTATTGTCTATTCACAAATAATTTTAAGACATCAACTTCATTTTGATTTTCATGGGAAATAAATTAGGTAAGTAATGGTGGTGATGGTATGTAGAACTTATTAATTTTAATTGTTGGATGCTATTACCACTACTCTTATCATTTTCTTTCGAAAGTCATATCTGAGCATTAAACCAATTTGAAAAATCTTGAGGAACATATCTTCAAGTCAAAAGAGGAGTGAAGTGTCAAAATAGCTTCTTTCTCTATTCCTTTAAATGCTAAACTCATATTATACACCGACTGCAAATACAAATGTTTTAATTATCTATTTGTCGTGTGAGATTTTAAGAATCTCCGTAGGCATTTAGAAGGATTTCATATCGTGTAAATCAATAAGATTTCGTAGGTGTGAGGATCAATCTTATAATAAATATTTAAGTCTCATGTGAGATTTTAAGAATCTTCATAAAGACTTAAATTAATCACATTATCGTGTGGGATAATAAGTTCTCGCAGATATAGTGGTTCTCAATATATATAATAAATGATTTTTATAGATAATTATATAATACACAATTTAAAAAAATTAATTAATCAAATTAACGAATTTAAGTTGTAATCATATTTATCAATTATATCTTTTAGTCATGTGAGATTTTTAAATCTCCGTAGACTTTTAAGATAATCGTATTATCGTATGAGTCAATAAGACTCTGCAGATATAACGATTATGTTTTTAAAATATATATATATATATATATAAATTATATATTAAATTAATTAAATTAAAGACGTATTTAAATTTAATTTCTTTATCATGTGAGATTTTAGAATCTTCGCAGATATTTAGGATAATCGTATTATCATATAAGTCAATAAGGTTTTGCAGGTATGTTGATTAAAATTCTTCAAAACATGTATATACACACTTAAAATATATTTTTAACACTTAAAATATACATAAGAATATAAAATAAATTAAATTGTCAAATTCTTTTATCGTGTGAGATTTCAGAATCTTCGCAGATATTTAAAACAACTGCATTATCGTATGAATCAATAAGGCTCTGCAGGTATAGTAGTTAAAATTTCTAAACATAAAACATAAAAGAAAAATAATTTTAATTTTAAACTCTTTTTCTTCTTTATTCCAAATATTCAAAAATTGAGAAAATAATTGAAATTAAATCACTTTTTGTAATTTAAAACACACATATCAAAAATTCATAAATTATTTTATTTGAAAAATGGTGAGTTATTTTTAATTAATTTCTCTTCAAAAATATTTTCACCAACAAACTTTTAAACCCGAACTATGTGGACTTTGATCCCCATCACAGGGTACGTAAGCCTCAAAGTCAGATTCTAAGTCAAGTCCTCCTTTGTAAATAAATAAATATTTTTCACCTAATTCTTATCATTTTTATCAAACACATGAATATAAAAGAGATAATTAAAATAATTAAAAAACTATATTAATAGAGCACAACAAATTTCAGGTAACCGTTCTGTCAAACAGGTGTTGTGGGATGCCTAACACTTTCCCCACACTCAATTGACTTCCAAACTTATTCTCTGATTTCGCAAACCAACTTTATCCTCCTTTTAATTAGTTTCCCGAGATTTACTTTAAAATCTTAGTGGCGACTCCTCGTTCGATCTAGTTCCCGCCGCAAAGGCCGGGACCTTCACTCGCGCGCCGTTCATGTCGCATTTTTCTTGGTGTGACAATATCCAAAGAGAAGTCACTGATATTAAGATTAAGAATGTAGCTTTTTGTATGGGCACCTTCAAAGCACCTAGCCTCAATGGTTCGTAGGCCCATTTTTTCCTGGGTCAATGGGGTACTGTTGGTGGGAAAGTGTGTGAGTTGGTTGAGCAAGTCTTCTTGGATCTTGTTAAAGTTAAGGAGCTTAACCATACAAACATTGTTCTTATCCCAAAAATTGATCATCCTTCCTCCTTGAAACAATTTAGGCCTATTTTCCTTTGTAACGTTAGCTTGAAAATAATTACCAAAATCATTGCCAATAGTTTAAAGGGTGTTTTGAATACTCTTATTGAGCCTAATCAGTGTAGTTTCATTGCAGAAAGATAAGGGTGTGATAATGTCATCATTGTATGAGAAATTATTCACTCCATGACAAGGAAAAAGGGCCAAAAAGGTTTTGTGGCTATACTGGTTGTGTAATGAATGACCTTAAAAATAAAAATAATACTTAAATTAATAATAACATATTTTGATTGTTTTTATATAAATTTGATAGTAGATGCAGCAAGATGTGTTGGTGGTTCAGGGGAAACTTTTGTTTGAAATTATCTTCACATCTTGGATTCGAATCTTAGTGGGTGCGGAGTTAAAATTGTTTTGTTTTGCTTCAGTTTTGATAAAATTACCATTCTACCATTGAAAAAAAATAGAGAAGAGGGGATCAGAAATCTAGAAAACGCACACATGCACGGTCAATATTTTCCATTCCCATTACTTGAATTTTCCAGACCCAAGATGGGAGAGAGAGTCAATTTTTATTCATCCTCCTTCTACCTTGTCATTCATCGGTGACTATGAGTTTTTTTTTATTTCATCACAGAGCTATAACAGCATGTTCTTCCTCCTCTGCTTCTCATCATATTCTCTTTCCTCCTCCATGGTCTCCAATTCTCGCCAGCGTATGTGTGTGAGAAAGCCTCGTCTGCCACTCGAAGAGGTTCAAGTCGTGGTTTTCTCCTCCTCCATGGCCACGTAACTGAAGCTTCCTCTTTTATTTCTCATGGATGCACTTGGAGACCGACAGTAAGCTGCCGACCTTAACCATCGTATCTTCTTTGATCTTCTTCTCCGTGCGTCTTGGGTCATCGTGAAAGTGCTGGAGCTTCCGTCTTTTGTTTTCCTCTATTTAGGCAAGCTGTAAGAGTGCGCTAGAATTTCCTTCCTCTGTTGTGCTATAGTCGATCGTTGCTGGGCAGGGATGAAGTCATCTCTTTCTTACTATTGACGTCGAAAACTATGGTGACTGAAATCCTTCCCTTCGTGGCTCATCTTCACCCACTTCTCCTCTGTGGTGCGTTGCTATAGGGTTGCTGTCATTGGTTGTCTCCTCTGTTCTTGCCATGGTATGGGTTGCATCGGACCTTCTTTATTTTCTCCTCCTCTGTTCATATTGTTGCTGATAAATTTACTTCCTTTGGTGGTACTGCTGTGCGTGTGCATGATTCAATTTTGTTGAAGTTTCAATTTCTTTTCTTGTGTTTTGTTGTTGTCATGATTGTTTAAGAAGGAGAAGATTTTAAATTAACCTAAAAATGCATATTGAAGCTTGGTAAAGATATATTTGGGTTAGAATTTTTGAGCTGGATTGATTTTTGTTTAAATTGATATTGAAGGCTTGGTTAGGATGAAGTTGGAAGAGAAAAACCAAAAAATGAAACTTGAAGAATGATGTCTATAAGATGTTTGCTAAAGTGCTTGGTAGAGAGAGTGTTTGATTGTGCATTTCCTAAAATCTCATTAAACTTTTTGGGAGACAGGTTTGGATGATATTATTTAGTGAATTGAGCTTGGTATTGTGTAAAAATTTTTTATTATGAAAGTGGTGCCTAGCTAGTTAAATTCTTTAGAGTTATGCAGTTATTGAAAAATTGTTGAGCAATTTATTGTGAGATTTGAAAATAATGTATATTCAGTGTCTAGATAAAAAGTTTAGTAGGAGATTGTATCATAATGGAATATTGAGTTATGACCTTTGAGGGATTTTCATGTGTAAAGTCTTGATTTTAAAATTTCAAGTTATTATAAAGTTGAATCTTGGTAGTAAAATATTGGAAGTAAATTATCAAATTTACTGAAAGTTTATTAAATATTTTATATAAATTATAAGGTTTTTGGAAGAGTAAACATTTAATTGAAGTTGAGAGGTGAATTTTTAAATTTTGAAAAGTATTTCAGGTAAGTGGATAGCGTCCTAACTGATATTTTAATAAAATTTCTTTATTAAAATATTACATTTTTATGCAAATTTTTTTTGCAACAACGATGTGATTATTATATATTTTGTTGATTAAATTATTTGATTTTGTGGAATTAATTTATCAAATTTGATAATTTTAGTTAATCAGTAAATACAAGTTTGAATTCTAATTATGAAATTTCATTCTGAAAGTTATTGAATTGCTACAAAAAACAATTCATGCAAGTCTGACGTTGAAAATAAAAATTTTATTCTAATAGTGAATATTTTCTCGCATGTTTGAAATGGAATTTAAAAAAAAAAGGGAACTTTATACAGAACGTTGGTTGCTAATGATAGTTTTGTTAGCCTTTAGTGCACCATGGTTCACCTAGCTAGCAGGTGTTTATAGGAGGTGCTAGCTTCGTGCAATAGCCAATGCATGTGAAACGGGGGGATGATTATTTCTGAGCATTATACTCACGTTTGTTTCGTGGCTTCAGCTGTGTTTGGTTTCTTACCCTCATGAACTGTGTGTCTACATTTGTTTTTGTGGCAAGAGCCGCATCTAATTATTTACCTTCGTGGACTGTGTGTCCATGTTTGTTAATTGTTCTGATAAGTCTTTATAATCATAAATTAGATTATTTTGTGATTTTACATCTCATTGGTTTTTATTTAGTAATTTATATATAATCACTTATTTTGTTTATTTGTTTTTATGAAATCACGTGACAATAATATTTGATCTGATAATTTAATGGTCCAAAATTTTATTTAAAATTTTATATAGAGCTATTTTATTCTAAAGTTTGCTAAAATTTTTATGAAAATCATGGTCCCCAACTTACACAAATGTTTCAAACTTTTCTTTTATTCATGTTCAATTGTTTATTTGTTGGAACGTTATTCACTGAAGATATTTTTGGTCCCAGATAGCATAGTTGATGATCTACCTCTTATTGATCTCTAAGGGGCTCATTGTTGAACTAAAGAGAAAGCCTTTTGAGGGTACTTTCCTTTTGACGTAAATGTTTAACTATGTGCTATACTTTAAAATTTTGATTAGATGCTCCACATTAACTATAAATAAGATTTTAATATGTCATTTATTTGTCTGTTTGTGGTGGAGGAGCAGAGCTCCGCATTTTTGATTTGGATCGCGCATTGATGTTGTAAAGATTTTGGGAAGTCTTGTTTACAGTGGAAGTTTTGTCAAAATTTTTACAAGAAAATTTAAGAATCTTTCATTTATATAAAAAAAATGTTATAATGATTTAACATCCTATTTTAATTGAATTAAAATATTAGAGTAAAGTTTTCCTAATCAAGGCTCAAGGGATGTATATTTGTGCATATATCCCATGCCAATCACATCTCAATTTTAGGGTGTGACAAGTTGACATGGAAGAAGCTTATAATCAACTTGATTGTAGCCTAATTGAAAGAACCTTGTTAGACATTGGTCTCGGATAGGCTTTTGTGAGTGTCATAATGTCTTGTGTTTCCCTTGCTTTGATGAAAGTCTTATGGAATGGTGAGGAGACTCAAGAATTTTACCCTTCAAGAGGACTTAGGCAAGGAGAACCACTAAGTTCCTACTTGTTTATCCTTTGCATGAGATGTCTAAGGCATTTGATTCAAAGAGAGGTGAGACTGAAGAAGTAGAAACCAATAAAAATTAGTGCTCACGAACCTCAAGTTTAACACTTGTTCTTTGCAAATGATTTGTTTCTTTTTGTTGAAGCTTCCCAGAGGCAAATGGAGGTTATTTGTGATCCTATGACTAAGTTTTGTAATGGGTCAGGTCATAGGATTAATCTCTCAAAGTCGAAAGCTTTCTTTTCTAGATATGTCAATTTCCATCATGAGAAGGAGTTCAGTGACTGCTTGGGCATAGGTGTCTCTACAGACTTAGGGAAATATCTTGGGGTTCCGCTCATACATCAACGAACTACAAAGAGAACTTATCACCCCATTTTGCAGAAGGTTCGTAGCAAGCTTTCATTATGGAAAGGTAAGTTTCTTTCATTAGTTGGTAGAGTCGTTCTAATTAAATATGTTATTTTTGTGATCCCTAGCTACTTCGTGCAATCTACTCTTTTACCTAAAGGAATTTTAAATGATATTAATAAAATAAGTAGAAATTTCTACTAGAAACAGGGTGGGGAGAGTAGGATGATGCACCTTATTAATTGGGAAATCATCAAGAATGAGAAAATAGGAGGTTTGGGCTTTAAGGACTTGTATCATCAAAACTTGACTTTTATTATGAAACTATGCTGAAACTATGCTGGGGATAATTGACTAAGCCTGATGTTCTTTGGGTTAAAGTCTTAAAAGCCAAATATCGTTGTGGTAATGATGTTTATTCTTTTGTAATGGACAAAAAATCATCTATGGTTTGGAAGAGTATTAATACTGTTTGGGATAGGTTTACATACATGATAAGTAGAAAAATTTGTCATGGATGTAATACCAAGGCTTGGTGGGATTTGTGGTCCCTTCTAGAGAAACCTCTAGTCCAGTATGTGGATAAAAATCATCATTTGTTAGACCCAAGAGCCTCTATGGCTACTTTTCTTAATCATAATGGTGACTGGAATTATAGGGAGATGATTAAATTTCTTCCTCTTTGGGTTGTGGAAAAAATTATGATGATTAAATGACCCAATGGAAATCAAGATGATTATTTTTGCTGGAAAGCATCCTCTGATGGGAACTTTAGCATTAAATCAGCATTTTTTTCTTCAAAAAATTGGGGATCTACCTACAGAGCCTATTTAGTGGATGTTATGGAAGTGGCCTATTTCTGAAAAAACTAAACACTTTTTATGGCAAGTGTTCGGTGAGAAACTTCCCAATAACTCATTTAGAGCTGCAAGAGGTGTTTCTATAAGTTCTAATTGTCCATTGGAGTGCCATAGTGAGAAAATAGTTATCTACATACTCCGTGATTGTGAAGTCGCTCAACAAGTGTGGTCTTATATTACTAACCCCATACATATGCAAACCTTTTGCTCTTCTAACTTACAGGTATGGCTAAGGAGAAATATTCAGAGTAACTTTAGCTCTGAAACAAGAAACAACTAGGAATGGCTGGCGTTACTAGTCTCTGTGGAAAAATAGATGCAAAGGGATAATAGAAGGGAAATGACTTGAAGCTGTGGAGATCCTGCACAAGACTAAAATGCAAGTAGTTAAAATAGTGGAGAATGGAATATTCAAGCACAAGGTCTTTCAAAGGTGGACACAAGGGAAAAAAGATGGAGTTCACTATCAGAGAGCTATCTTCACTTAGATGTTGACAATTCGATGAATTGTCAAGGGTTTGCAACGTGAGGGAGCCTTTTGATATGCGCGAGGTAATTAGATTTTGGGTTTTCATAGTAAACTTGGGTATATTCCGTCCACTATGGCCAAGCTATCCACATTACATTTAGGTCTTATACTTGTTAAGCAATATCACATGAAGAAAATTCAGTGTCACTTTGACTTGCTGGAAGCTACCCACTTACTGCAGACTAGTAGGGGCTTGAATCATCCTTTATGTTCAAATATTACTAGGACACAAAAATTGATTTTCTCAGTTAGCGAAGTGGAAATTTTCTATTCCAATCATGAGAATATAAAAGTAGTTGACTGCCTGGATAAGGATGTGCATAAAATTAAGGTTTAAGGTGCAATTTTTCCTTAAACTATTTTCAAAGGAGCAATGTTGCCTCCTAAACTATTCATCATAGCAATATTACCCCTAAACTAATCAAATCGAAGTAATGTTACCCCCATCATTTAAATGTCTATTACTATAGCCAGTGGAACTTATTTTTCATGAGTTAAGGTGCAATTTTGCCCCTAAACTATTTTTAGAGGAATAATGTTGCCATCACTGTTTAAAATCATAAAAATAAAATTATAATAATATTAAATAAAAATAATATTAAATGTATATATATAATAAATATAAGAAAAAATTATAGTATGTTAATAAAATGTCATAAATAAATAATATTATAAATTATAATTTTATAATTTGTCAAATATAAGTGAATCTTGGTTAAATTAGATATAAATAGACTCAAAAATATCTGCATTTGCACTTATAACTATCAACTAGAGTTGTCATTAACGACTCGATTTGGATCAAAAAACCATTTTCATAATTGAGTTGGATTGGACAAGAGTTAAGCCACACCTATAATATTAAAAAAAAGCTTAAAACATTTACACAAAATTTAAAAATTAGATCCTACTAAACGTCAACTTTATTTTTAAATAATTCATGTATATAAAATATGATTTGAGACTATTTTTGTATAAAGATGTCAATAGTTATAGGTGCAAATGTAGATACTTTTAAGTCCACTCATATCTAATTTAATCAAAATTTACTTATATTTGACAAGTTATAAAATTATAATTTATATTTTTTCTTATATTTACTTTATATATACATTTAATATTATTTTTATTTAATATTATTATAATTTTTATATATATACGTTTATATTATTTTATTTAATATTATTATATTTTTATTTTTATGTATTTTTTATAATTTTTAAATGATGAGGGCAACATTACTCCTGAATAATTTAATGGTAACATTGCACCTTTATTCATAAAAAGTGAGTGCCATTAGCTACAGTAATGGACATTTAAATGGCAAGGGTAACATTGTTCTGATTTGATTAGTTTAGGGTAATATTGCTATGATGAATAGTTTAAGGGCAATATTGCTTCTCTGATAATAGTTTAAATGTAAAATTACACCTTAAACCTAAAATTAATGCTAACCTATGTATCTTGAATGAACTTATTGGTGGATGTATGGCCTATTTATGGGCTGATTAACAATGCATGAGTAACTAAGCTTTGTACTTTAAGGTCTTTTAACTTGTCTTTCAATTTTTTTAAAAAATAAAGAGATTGTATTGGAAGAAGCTTGGTATTATTTTGAAATTTGATGCATGTAAGATGATCGATAAAATGCTTGAATGGAGAAATTTACCATCAATTTTGTGCTGAAACTATTGGTTGATTATTGTTTTCTCTTTTAACTTGTCATGGATAAAGTGTAAAAGAGTTGGAATAGGGTTATTTAATATATTCAATGTCTTTAGGACTAATGTTATGGATTTTTTGTTCTGTTTTTAATGGATTTAAATTTATGTTTGATAAAGAAATGAATTTCGTAAGCATAGAAAATTTATTTAGATGTCTAGAAAAAATTTTGGAAAAAAGATTTGAAGCATAAGTTGGTTGTTGTATGGTTTAATTTTAGATGCAAGAAAGGTGTTCAATGAAAGGTTTGATTGGGGGATGTTAGTCTATGGTAACAAATAAATGTGACATATGCACTATGGATGGGTAAAATTGACACAGGAGGTATTATTCTTCACAATGAAAAATTGGAAATAAAGTTAAGAGAATTTTGGGGGAGAAAAATAGCATTCAGTTAATAATTCAAGGAGCAAGACTAATTTTGTTTATGTTAGCTTTTGGGTGCATATAAAATGTTTGATAAGATGTTTGTGAAAGAAAAATTATGAAAATTGGACATATATAATTGATAATGTTGAATAAATCATGGAAGAAGTTATTTATTTTTTTTTAGGAAGAGCTGAAAATTTTGAATATTTTTATATACGCGTATGTCAAAGATTCATTGATTAAATTCATCATGGCATTTTGATTATTTGTGAAAAGTTTATTCTTGACCTTTTTTTTTTTCTATTTTTCCAAATTTGTTTGGAGTGAAAATTTTTAGGTCTATAAACAAAAGAAGTAACAAGGACGTTACTTTGGGCAATAGGAAATGCACAAACACTATTATAAAAGTGGCTAATTTGAAGTAAATTATATGTTTGAGAATATTTTAGTTAAGTAAATAGCATCCTAAATAACTTATTAATAAATTTATTTTTTCACATTTATTAGTAAATTTATATCATTATATTTTAAACTTTATTATCAACTATCATGAATAAAAATGTTTCTATTATATAAAGTTTTATAAGAAGAATGAGAGTTATTTTACAATTGGATATCTACCATTTTCTAATATATTGGCAATGTTTGATTTTATGGTTTAAGAAATAATTTATTATTATGCCTCATGCATGCTTGATTTAAAGTGTAGGATCAAATCAAAATGCTAGTTGCTAATAGCAATTCCATTGGCCATTGGCATGCCATAATATACCTAGCTAATAGGATGTTTGTAGGAGATGCTAGCCCCATATGCTGGCCAACGCACGTGAAATGGAGGGATGAATATTAACAAGCATCTCACGCTTGCTTTGTGTATTTCAGTTGCGCTTGACTAGTTTTTCACTTTTATAGACTGTGTGTTCACACTTATTTGTTATTTATTCTCGTGGACTGTGTATCCACGCTTGTTATTCATTGTGATAACGTCTTCCTAAAGGATATTTTGAAATTAATTTTTTTAAACGAATCATATTAAACAAGTTTATTTTCGTAAATGGATTTATTTGTAACGAGAGAGTTGCATTTCTTAACTATTTAATACAAATCTAATAGTTTAGAAAGCAAAATTTGACCATTATGTTGTTATCAGATGAGAATGTTTCTAGATTAAATGCTTAAATGGAAATATTGGGTTTGAGTTATACACTATTGTTTTTTTAAATGACTATTTTAGTCAAAAATGCAATTCTAATAGGCTCCATAATTTTCAAAGTAATCAATTTAGGAAGAGTTATAAGAGGGAGTGAAAGGACTAACCACCATAAAGATGATTCCCTCCAACAATATTTTTCATTGAATTACAAAAATAAACATCAATGACCTCTAGGGTTTGGAGTTGTGCTAAAAACTTATGTCACCCCTAGCTATTGTTATACCTACAAGAAGAATGAAAGTAAAAGTACCTAAAGAATATGGATTTTTTTTCCCCGAGCATCTCTTCAAAGAATGAAGGATCAACAATATATAAATTTGCACAAGTGGGTACTTCATGTACAAAAATCTAGCTATATTTGGTTAAATAATACATTACAAGAATATTATTTATTTAAGAATATAGATTTTTTTCCCAAGCATCTCCTCAAGGAATGAAAGATCAACAATATACAAATTTGCACAAGTATGTATTTCATGTACAAAAATTTAGCTATGTTCGGTTAAACAATACATTTCGAGAATGTTATTTATTTTGTGTCTTACATTTTAATAATGGTATGTTTTGTATAAAAATAATTAGAAGATTTATCTAGAGGAATAATTGATGGAACAAATTTATTAACAAAGCATGACAAATGTTTCAACATGTTAGATAAATTACATAAGAATAGAATGATGAGAGTTAAATTATACATGCAAAATGCACAATTCCCTCAAGTTTATTGACATATGTATTATAAAAATAATAAAAAGAATTATGACAGAAGTTTATATGAAATTAAAAAAAATACCAAATAATGGCTTATGGAAGGAAGATTTGGAAAAAGAGCTTTTGATAAAAAATTAATATAAAAAATTTATATTTGACAAATTTTTAAAGTGTTTTCAATTTTCAATACTTCTCTTAGATTGTAATGCTTCTCTCAAATGGATCTTGCATGATTTTTTTATATCTTTATTTTTAAAGTACTTGATTTCTTTATGGACTAGTCTTGAGTATTTGCCAAATTTTGTATCCAACTTAAAATGCCTTATTGCATTATTAATCTCAGTAATATCTAGAATGATCAATCTATAATCTCTTAAACTTCATAAATGGGGCTCAAATTTTGTAAAAATTAATGTACAAAATCTATAATATTTAAAAAAGATATAAGCTATAATAGAAACTCTATCATAGAAATTTGTTACAATTCATGTGATATCAAAGTTAGGTTTTGATCTTGAGACTTGTGAGCCAATAACCTATAGATTTTAGAATTAAAACCAAGTTCTGATACCACATTTTAATGCATAAAAATGCTTGATAAAAGAACAATATATGATTCCTTTGTATATAAAATTCAATTCCAATAGAAATTCTAATTATGAAGTGGTCAATTTAAAAACATTTATAAAAAAGTGCAAAAGTCTATGATTACAATTAAGATAGTCCTCTATAACAATTTCTTTTATTAACTTATAGAATTTAATATTAATGACTTTAAAATTTTAGAGTGGTGCTATTAACTTAAAAAATTCATTAAAAAGATTACAAGAGTCCATTAAGGATGGTCTTTGAAAGTGGACAAGATAGAATAAAAATTAATAAATAAAAATAAAGGATCAACCTGGAGGATATTATAACTGCAAAAATTATAAAGGAAAAAATACTTAAAGAACATAGATATTTTTTTAGCAAGAATCTTCTCAAGAAATGAAGTATTAATGATATCTAAATTTACACGAATGACTATTTCATATATTAAATTCTAGCTATATTCATTTAAATAATTAATTATAAGAATATTTTTTATGATATGCATTGCATTCTAATAATAGTATGTTGTATAAAAAATTAATTAGAAAATTTGCATCAAAAAATGATTGTTGGAACAATTTTGTTGATAAAATATATGATTTTAATACATTACGTAAACTATAGTAAAACAAAATGTTAAAAAAATTTAAATTATACATTTAAAATGAACAATTCTTTCAATTTGTTAGCTGCATATATTATTAAGAAAGTAATAAAATTATAGTAGAATCTTTTATGGAGAAAGTATTTTTAACAGAAAACAACATAAAAAATCTTAATTGGCCTGTCTCCTAAATATTTTTAACTTTCAATACTTCTTTTAAATTGTAATAGTTGTCTCAA